CTGCATGGATTTTTCCATGCTGAGTCTTTGAAATCTTGCAGGTGTTCCTCATCCCTCATTTTGGACTGACCTCACTGCGTGTGCTCAGTGTTTCAGACTACCTTGCACAGCTCTGTATAGTTCAGCACCTGAGACTCTTTCAGAGTCTCTCCATGACAAAACCCCACACTCCTAATGTCTAAAAGAGGTCTCAAACTTCTCTTTACAACTCAGTGTTGGGATGCCCCATCTCTATACAGACACACCCTCTATTCCTACCAAAATAAGCTTCTAGTGGGGCCCAGCCTATGCCAGACTTGACATTGTGCCTTTTGAATGTCTTATTCTTTATCTTCCACTGGGATCTCTAACTCCCTGAAGCTTCCTCCCTACCCCTCTACCCCAACCAAAGAGAGGTGTGAGGCAGGCTGAATTCTGTCTTCTAAGACAGGTATGAACAACTCCTGACAGCATGCCAATATGTCATTACATGGCAAAGGGACTCTTACATTACCAAGCCATTGTCATGATGCCGTCTAATAAATAGAAGGACATATAGAGGCCAAGAAAGAGATACAATGAAGGAAATAGGAAATGAGGCCAAAAGTTCTGTAGCTGTGTTTAAAAGAAGCAGCCAGGAGTCATGGATTCCAAGCAGCCTTCTGAAGCAGTGATTCTTCCCCAGAGTCTGCGGAAGGAACTGTGATGTCTTGATTTTAGCCCCATGAGACTGGTTTCACATGTTTGGCTTGTAGAACTGTAAACCATTTTGTTTAATCATCCGCTAAGCTGGTTATAACTTTTTTCACTTTCATATACTTCTATTAGTTCTTTGAGAATTTTATACATGTTTTGATCATAGTCACCCCTTCCCTAAACTCTTTCCAGATCTATTCCTTTCTCTTTCACCCAACTCTATGCCCCCTTTTTTTCTATCAACACCACTTCATGTTGCTTAAATGCTCTTGAATATATGGTCTTCTACTAGAGAGTGGTCAACATACCAGGGCTACACATTCCTAGAGAAAATTGTCTCTCCCTCTCTCAGCAGCTAGAAATTGCCTAGCCCCTTGCCTAGGAGTGAGACTTCATGTCCCTCTCTCCTCTCCTTGCTGCTTTGATCTGATTTGCACAAGATTTGTGCATATTATCACAATCACTGTGCATTCATATGCAAAGCTTCTTTGCTGTGCCCAGAAGACACTTTTCCCCTGTGGTCATCTACACTCTGGCTCTCACACTCTTTCTCCTCCCTCTTCTACAATGGGATAGAAATGTTCTATTTAGGCAAATATTCTGAAGTCTTTTGTTTTCCCCTCTGCACCTTGGCCAGTTGCTGGTTTCTGTCAATATTCAACTACTGCCAATAGAAATAACCTTTGGTGAGGGTTGGAAGATGCATTAAACTATGGATATGATAAGTCATTAGGAGTTGTGTAGTCCGACTTTCCTTTGGGCTGCCAGCTGACAAATAATGACGCAGAGACTTATTTATTAATTATGAAAGCTTGGCCTTTAGCATAGTCTTATTCCCAACTAGCTAGGTAAGATTAGTGATTACTTTTCTCCTACGGAGGCAAGCCTAGCACTTTCCAGCACTATGAAAGCTGCTGTTGAAACTTGTTACAGCCACTGTAGGAGACAGGAGGCTTTATCTCCCTAGCTCCCACATCCATTACCTCTTGAAGATAACTTTGGGGGTCAGTTTCTATATTAGTTTGCTTTTATGGTGGCTGTGAAAAACAGAACTGACAAAAGCAACTCAAAAAAGGGGGTTGTTTTGTTTATTTGAGGAACAATGCATCATGGCAGGGAAGGCATGGTACCCAGAGCACAAGGGGTGGTGGTCATATCGTATCTATGGTCAGGGAGCAGAGATGTGTGAAGGCTGATGCTCAGCTGATTTCTCTCTTCCCCCCTTTTATTACCACACACATGCAGTGCGGTTCTTCTTTCCTCTGTTAAACATCACTGGAAAGTATATCCCCCAGGTGATTCCAGATCAAGTCAGGTTGACAGTGAAGACTAGCCATCAGTTTCGGTCTCATTTTAGTTACTCCAAACACTTAGCATTTGCTCGGCCTTCATCACTTTCCCTAAAGAAAGTCTTAAGTGGGAGAAGAGCTGGTACTACCATGTCAATCAATGCAATCCCCACATGCACATCATCATCATGAAGAAAAGACAGAGCTGCCTGCAGCAGGTGAGCAGGGGAGACACAGCAGGAAGGATCAAGGGGATGGGGTCAAGTGGGGATCAGATCTGAGGGCCAGTGCAGTTGCACAGGTCAGGCCCATGGGACCTGTTCAGACTTTGAAACCAGAAGCATGGAGCTTGTGGGCTGTTTTGGATTTGTGAAGGCTTGGAAAATAAACAAGAGTTCTAAGAAAAATATTTTCACTGATCCTGAGGTCACTCCAGGACAGCAGCAAGATAAGGTGGTTGCTCAACTAAGCCTTGAAAAGAGGCAGAAAGACAAGGAGAAACCTCAGGGGGGCGATCCGACCAAGATGGGGGGTGGAGGGAGACAGGGTCCAGAAGATGAAAATGAGGCAAAGAAGGTGGATAAATGAAAGCAGAGATAAAAGGCAGGCTTGCCAAGGAAAAGCCTTAAGCAGCTGTGAATCAGAAACAGGTGATAAGAGTGCAGAGGCGGATGTGTAGGCCATTAACAGATTTCTCAAACTCATCTTTACCAACATCATGAACCAGCTTCCTCAGTGTGTGTGCGTGTGCGTGCGTGTGCGTGTGCGCGCGTGCGTCTGTGTGTGTGTGTGTGTGTGTGTGTGTGCATGTGCGTGCATGCATGCGTGTGCGTGTGCGCGCGTGTGCGTGTGCGTGTGCGTGTGTGTGTGTGCGCGTGCGTGTGTGTGCGCGCGCGTGTGCGTGTGCGTGTGCATGC